GTACTTACAACAATTTCAAAAATTATGAGCGAAATAGTAAAAGCAATATGAATAATGCTTCCATTACCATTTCACGTGAAAGTATCAACATAATTTCAGGAATTTTGCAAATGATTATTATTAGATAGAAGGACAAGATTATCGCGTAAAGAGATACTATTTTACGCTTCACACGACGGCCACACAGAAGAGAAATGACGCGATTCAAAATAAAAGTATTTATGTAGATACATAGACTAGAAACAATAGTAAGTTCGACTACTCACAGTAATGAATAGCTACAAGCGATTCTGTACGCGGATTATAATTATGTTTATGATTGTGGAGCGATGATTTTTTTATACTTCAATCATTTTAACAATTATAATATCTGGAATTTGTAACAATTATAATTATAATTTGTTAACAATTATAATATCTGACAATTGTGTGGAGTCTACAGAAGCATATTGGAATTAAATGTCCTTTACATTTGGGTTTTATAATGATAAGCAGTTTTTTTCGATCGCTCTTCAAGATGATTATGCTAATTATTAGTAAAACATTGATGTTAGATGTTATGACAACCAAACCGTTAGCAGAATGATCTTCTGTTTTTATATTTATCAGTCGGTTTTTATATTAGTCAGATATTTTAATGCAAAATTATCGAAACATTAAAAACGAGAGCATTCTCTTTAAATGGAGAATTTTAAGGCAATAAAAAGTTTAGTAAACGTAGTGAATGATATTGTTACAACTATTTGTGTTTTGCAGAATACAAAAATTGCTAAGGAAAGTGTTGAACATCAGTAGATAGAAGAAATTTTTAGGAAAAGATTGAAATATGCGGCCAGATTTTGATCGGCTGAAATATACGTGATAAACAGTATTCGCTCAACAATCTTATTGTAAGATTTGAAATTTATCGCAATTAAAGTAACAAATAAAATTATACATGAATATTTATACTTACATGTCGTGTTTAATTTATTTGATACTTTAATTTATCAATTATTTTATTCTATAGTTTATCAAGAACAGATTTATTGTAATGGTATGCATCTTTTTGATCGTATAGAAGAAATCTAATATTTCGCTTATTAATTTCTCTATGCAATGTAGAGCTAAGAAATAGGAGTTCAATACTTGTATCGTTGTATCTACGCAATGTTTCAACATAAAACATTTCATTATAAAACAATTAACACGTTGACTGCTATGTTAGTCACTTGTGATCGAAGATATTTTCCTCAATAGAGTTATAGTGATCATCATAGCTAACTGTATTATGAAATAACAAGTGCACTATCAACAATTAAGATTTTAATTAAAACATTACACATATATTATAAAAGTTATATATGACGTATTGTATAAAAGTATTTTAAACATAAATGAGGCCATCGAAATATTCGCAGTATATAGTGACTTTCTTTGTGTCCAATTTTTAGCATATTGAATTTGCAATATACTTCACAAAATTTTTGCAGTAGGTATGCTGGTCTTTCCTTCTTTCGTATTTCATAGCGTAATCGTTGGTGGACTATAAATGTTGGGCATATTTGATGGAATTGGTGCTTATACGTATGAGAAAATATTCAAAAACAGTTATCAAAAGTAACTGAGTGCATCAAGGGGCCACGGTGACCACCAGTAACCACCAGCAAGATGGATATGGGTATAATTTTATTTGTCATTATATGTTTAGAATAATGAAAATTCTCTTGTCGTAGTATGTATATTCAACGTGTTAATATTAACCGAGCCCAGAACCGGCATACAGAATGTACTATCTCATTCAATAGATAACAACAAATTACACAGATCTTGGCTGGTATATTTTGGTGCATCCACCGTATTCTTCTGACCTTGCACCCTTTTCTTACCATTTATTTAGATCACTTCAAAATAACTTAGATAGTAAAAATTTTACTTCCTTCGAAGACTGCAAAAATCATCTGATCTGGATCAGTTCTTTAGCCAGGAATCCCAGAATTTCTATGAGCTCGGGTTTATGCAGCTATCGGTAAGAAGGTCATTAAACAGGTACATATATTGATTAAATGTAATTTTTAGTGAATAAAATTTTTGTTAAAAAACGGGACGAATTTTTGCATCCAATAGCTTAAGCCATCAGACATTAGAGTGGCGGTTATACATATGTATGTGTAAGAAAAAGTTAACTCCTCGACTATATATCGAAAAATTATCGAAATAAATAGAATGAGTCACTTTCTATATAATTAATTAGTTATTTATTAATAAGATTATTTTTAATATACATGTATATATTATTGTTAAGTATGTGTAAAAAATTTTATTAAATGCGTGTATATAGTTTAGCGCATTAGAATTTTATTTATTAACATTAATGTTCGCATTTTAAATTCACTCTTACGCTCTGATAGTTCATGTAAATCGAGAAGCAAATTTAATAAAAATAGTTTTCGATGATCGAATTATTTATTTTTTATTCTAAATAAATAATTAACAAACATTTTATTTAGAGAAGCTTTCAATTTTTTTGTATGTCTTGTATCTTTTCAAGTTTCTTCAATTGTATCCTCTGTTGTCTCTGTTGGATCATTTCGGTCTTCTGTTTCTTCATTTAGTGGAAATAGAAGATTTTTATAACTTTTTATAACTTTAGAGAAAAAGGTATCTTTATTTTCCCACTCGTTACATGTATGATGCAAGATCATTTTAATAAAATAGACAAACTCCTCACGACTGCCAAAAAAGTAGGGATTCACATTTTAAAATAAAAACAATTCTTTTTCTATGAAATTATAATTTACAATAGATTAAATTATTGATAATTTTGCATTGATAGAATATATTCTCTTCTCTGTATATTTCAAGTATTCGTTCAAAGTCAATCCCTGAGCCTAACGAAAACTTGGGTTTCCATTTTATCTGCCCCTTTGGTTTATCCCTTACAGTTAACTACTAAACTTACAATTAGTTGAATCTACAGTAGCACTATTCATAGCACTTTTATAAAAAAAATCTTTTCGATACATTATAATAATTTAGCTCTTTTTTTATGTTTGACCGGCGTCTCTTAGAAGAATCTTTTTACTGTCATTAAAATTACTTCAATACGGCAGAGTTGTATAAATATCAGACGAGAAGATAGTTTTCGGCTTTTACTGTTAAGTAAAATTTTGCTAGTTTTACTATTAATTAATGATGTAAAAATAAATTGATTTTATGATATATATATTGTTTTTATGATATATATATTTATCGCTTATAATAGCGATATATTCCGGCATTCTCTTTCTTTTATATTATCAAAGATGTAAGACATATATTTACACTACTATTTCGTGCCATAAAAGTTATTTTTCAATGGATTTTCCAGGCAAACAAATAATTTTATTACATTACGTACATTATTCCAGTATCGGACAAGTTTAAAAAATATTTTTTGCGATTAAAATTCTTGGGTTTTTCTCTTTCGTTTTTATATAAAAAAAAAAAAAGAAATTAAAAGAGATTAAATTAAAGTGAAATTGAAGAGAAAAAATGAAAATGATCGCGGGATAACGTAAAAGCAGTTTTGAAAATGCTGCATAAAGAGAAAATGACAGCAAGACTGCTGAAAAGCTTTCCACGTTACAAGAAAAAAACATCGATTATTTTGCTTGTAATATCTGTAAACACATTTAAATGAAGTTTTGTTCCATTTAAATGTCTGTAATGTTAATGTTTATGTTTATTAATGTTTATCTTGTTAATGTTTATCAACATACACAAATTACGACTCTTTCACTTATGCAAATTATTAATCATTATGATAAAATTTGATATGATAAAAAGGGAGACAGTTTATACTCTTTTATTAAGCGTCATTTTTATTACAAGTTTTTGTAATAAAAATTAAAATTTAAAATTTGGTTTCTATCAAGAATTGGCCAAATTATAATAAAAAAACTTCGGTACCCTACAATACTCTTCTCTATGTCTATTTTATCGAAATTTTTACACTCTGGTTTACATTCTGTTTCTACGACAAAGCTTTGTTATTTTAGACGACATATATTATAAAAATTGTAAGATATTTATAAAATATGTATTTATAAAAATTGTAAGTATTAAAAAAACGTATGATTATAAAAAAACGTATGATTATTACAGCAAATCAATCTTTCAATTATGATAGTTTTGTAAGGAAATTATATATTAACAATTTTATAGCACATCAGAAAAATTTTATTTATAAAGATATGAATTTGCATAAAAATCTGCAGTTATAACAATATTTCTTGATTTAAAATTATAATCACGATAGTTTTCTAAACAAATTATATAGTAACAATTTTAAACTGAATTTTTTCCTGATGAATAGATCAGTACAAAAAGTTTTAGAATATCGCATGCAAATCCATCGTGAATTCGTAAATTCACATACTTTTTTTGATGTATAATAGAATTTCACTTTTCACAAATTCTGCTTTTCGCTATTGAGAATTTAACAACACTATAATGGGACTTCATATACCTGGCAACGCTGGCCTCCCTGGCAGCTCATAAAGCTGCCTAGCGTCTCTGTAGTCAGTTCTCTGACGATTTGCACTAGGTAATATTGGTATGAAATTGAGTGACTAAAATTTACGTGTAGTATCAGTCTTTTTTGCACGTGTAATATTTGTATGTACGTTAGTATTTTTGTGCTTGAACGTTAGTATTTTTTGTTAGTATTTTAGTGTTAGTATTTTTTGTACGTAGTGTCAGTACTTTTTGTACGAGTATCTGTATCCTGTTACTATGATAATTATCATGGGAAAGAATGAATCAGCGTAACAAATCAAAAATAATGCAGTGGTAAGTAAAAAATTTATATTAATAAAGAAATTAATTTTTATAAGAATTTTATAAGTTAAATTGTAAATTAAGTTGTAACCAGATTGCGGATTTTTATGCATTTATAAGAAATTTGAAGATAGAAAAATGCAAAAGATTATCCAGAGTGCAATCCTGTGTAATAATTAATAGAGAAAACAATTTTCCATTTGGTTTCTCTTTTCTAAATTTTATTTATGAAGATATAAATTTGTATAAAAGTTTGCAGTTTAGTTATAACAGTATTTTTTGATTTAAAATTATAATCATGATAGTTTTGTAAAGAAATTATATAGTAATAATTTTATAAAGTCATTTTTTCAAAGTGATTTTACCAAAATTTGTTTATATTGTTTGACATATGATCTGTTAATGAAAACTTTTAATCGTTATTATTATTATAAGTTTCTAAATATCATTATTATTTATTGCTAGCCATCAAATAGTGGCATTACAAAATTTCTAGATACTTCGATTGACTTCTCAACTGTGAGAAATGGGAAACATGTACTTGCATTATCACTTTGTGATATAAAAAATTGAACTGAACAAGCTTGATAGTAATATTCAAATAATATTCAGAAAGATGAATAAAAAAGATCCAACCAAATATAAGGTAACAAATAATTATCTCTTCTGTTCATTTATAGAAATAATATTGAGACTAAATTAAACTAAAATTTCTTTTTTAATATTTTATAGGCCTTATATGAATTTGTTATTTTGTGTAGAGATTCAAAAATCTCAATCAATGGAAGGAGTGTTATCATTCTGGCCACAGTTATATTGTACCTTAGCAATAGATATAAAACAGAGTAAGAAAAACTGCACAGTTAACACATGCCGCTCTTGTGATGTTTTGGCTATTATATTTTTTTAAATGTAAATAATCAAGATTTAATTAATGCTCTGCTCAGAGAATAGGTTTTTTATTTTATCCATTTATGTTACAGCAAAAAGTATAACTATACCAGTAACAATGAAAAATTGTCTACACGTTAAACTGATATAACTTTGTAAAAGAACATCATATAACAATCCAGTGGTCTCATTTTAAAGCGTGAACTTTACTTTAAAAGTCAGATCGGTTTTTTTTGTTTTTTTTTTTTAAATGACATTGATCTAAGAAAAAATCAGAATCTTATATTATTAATTTTTAAAGCACTAAAAAAAGGTGGTAAGTTTATGATATTTTTAATCTGATTACATTTTATTAATGTAGTATATATAAATAATTTATATTTTATTTTTTTCTAGATGTGTTAATGAAATCATATCTATATTTTCCAATTCATTTTATAAAATCGGTGAAAATCGATGAAATTCGTAAACATGCGGCCCAGTTAGACTTCCTGACTAATGAACTGCGGATCCCTGGACAAAACGCAGTTCCCTTTGGAAATAGAAGTTCTCTCGAAGAAGTAATGGCGCTGGTAATTAACCCTTTCGGTACGAGCGCCGGATATATCCGGCGTCCATGTAACAGCCTGTATGCACGAGTGTCATAATTGTTTACTGCAATAATAATAACCTTGTGAAGCGAAGGACAACTTTTATAGAAAAAAAAATGCTCGCAGCCATCACCTAGGTATACAGCACACACCATAAATAGTACCGTAATATAAGTTTTTACTCATCATAAATTGCAAAATTTAACTTCATAAGGCTTACTACCATTGCAGATTCAAGGTCTCCTTGAACAATGCACTCTCCGAGATATAAAAGCATTTTCTAACAGTTTTTCATCAGTATTCTTGCCTGTCAGTTCGATCCGGTCACAGTGAACGCGAACAAGATTTTTACCAAAATCAAACCTCGTGACTTTGTCAATCACGCATATTAGTCGAGCAAGAAAACTACGTCACGAAAACATTTGAGGCCCTTTTCAGAATGTTTACTGGAAACAAAAAAAGTAATCGATTTAAAAACAGAATAATGGACTCCGAATATGGCGAGAATTTCGAAAATGTAAATAATTTCAATCAATGTAAATAATTTCAATAAAAGACGAAGAACAAATGTAATATATAGCAGTTCAGAATCGGAAACAGAATTAATTGAAGAATCCAATGACACGAATTGTGATATAACATGGACGAAAAAAAATTTTGTACCAAAAATTCATCAATTTATCTCAAAAAGTTCGGGAATCGCTAAACAAATACGCAGATCATCCAATCATTACTTTCAATTATTTGAATTAGAAATAATTGTATATGAGACGAACTATTATTGGGCTGAACAAAGTTATAACAACGTGAATACTCTCGAAATAACGACGCTAAACGAATTGTACTGTTTCTTCGCCATGTTGTTACTGATGACACGCAACAAAAAACTATCACTAAAAGAGTACTGGAGCACAGATCATTTTTTACAGAGCGATATTTTTAGAACAATAATGACCAGAGACCGTTGCTTTCTGTTGTTACGAATGATACATTTCTCGCATGAACCTGGACGTATCGGTGATCGCCTAACAAAAATAATAAACATAATCGATATGTTGCGAAAATCATTCAATGCAGCATTTCAGCCTTATCAAAAACTCTGTATAGACGAAAGTTTACTTTTATACAAAGGCCGCCTATCTTTCAAGCAGTATATTCCGTCAAAAAGAAACAGATTTGGTATAAACTCGTTTATTCTTTGCGATTGCAAAATCGGATATGTGCAAGACATAATAGTTCATACTGGATCATCTACAATTCCGGATAGCGAAACCAAGGAAATTGGAAAATCGGGAGCAATCGTTTTAGCACTTTTGAAGCCGTACTTAGGAAAGGGCCATACCCTTTTTATGTGGATAATTTTTATTCGAGTCCAGCATTATTTAACTTATTATACAGCAAGTGTACAAATGTATGCGGGACTGTAAGAAGAAGACGACAAGGAATGCTAAAGATTGATGATCAATTGAAAAAAAGGAGAAGCATCTTTTCGTTCTTCGAAAAATTTGTTAGTCTTGAAATGGGTAGGCAAGAAAGAAGTCTATATTATTTCAACTATGCATAGTGTAGATTTTATGACAGTATCCAGATATGGAGGAAAACAGATTCTGCAAAAGCCTGTATGTATTACAATAATTCAGTGGGTATAGTAGATAAAGTGAACATGGTAATAAGTACTGTCGATTCAAAGTGTAAATCGTTGAAATGGTACCGGGAACTTTTTTTCCATCTAATTGATATTTGTGTGTGGAACGCGTATTGTCTTTATAAGCACAAAAGGAAAGAAACCATACCTATGGCGATATTCTGATTATATCAGAAATCAAAGAAGAGACACTGAAAATCCCATGAGGCATTTTCCCTCATTATATATACCAAGAGGAAAGAACCGAATCCGAAGATGTATAATTTGTAGCAAAAATGACAAAAGATTGGAATCAGGATATGAATGTAAAGATTGTAATGTTGGTTTATGTATATCCTTGATATCCTTGATATATCCTATGTATATCCTTGTAGATCCTTGTTTTAGAATATACCACACCAAATTACATTACTAACCGTTATACGTATATTAATATATTATCTAATTTGTATTTCTTACTAATTATAATAAACGTTTATTCATATAGTCTGTAAAAGTATAAATATCTAAAAATCTATAAACTGTAATTGTTCTAGTGTTACTAATAATTAATAGAATTTTATACAAATGTCTTTCAATATTAAAACGTTTAATATTGAACGACAATTGTTAGAAGAAACATTGTTTTATTAAGCATAATTCTTATTTAACGCTTAGAAAAATCTTCAGACAAAAGAAGACTGACCGCGCGCTATGTGTGCATTTTCGGAGTGGCGCCTCGTACAGCAGGAATGTCACGGCAGACAGAGTGCTCGTACCGAAAGGGTTAAGAAAGAAGGCCCTGGACGAAGAACAACGCACGAAGTTAGCTTCCTCCAAGAATACCAGGAATCTTTGCTTCGACTTCAAATCAGGTTGGAAGATGTGACCTGATTCGACATCCGCTTGTTCGATACAGGAGATCATCGAACAAGCTCCACATCACGTGCCGTTCCATCGTCGAGTAGAGGTTGCTGAATTATTAGTCCAGATGGAAAAACAAGGGGTAATCGAAGAATCTAATAGCCCTTGGTCATCTTCTATCGAACAAGAAAATATTTCAAAATATTCTAATATTTTGAAGAACTATCTTTCATTATTAGATTGCTAATATTTTATTTCTTATATAAAATATAATGTAATACTAAATTTTATATATTAAAAATGCAATGTTTTTATGTTCTTTCTTGTAGTGATATTTCTCAAATTTCTTGCCGTGAGGAGTACAAAAGGGAGGCCACAAGGATACAGAAGCTGTACTGGGCCAACCGAAAGCGCGCGGTCGGGGGGATCCTCTACAAGAACTCCCCTTTCTGTGAATTGCCCAAGGAAATCATCCAAAGGCATTTCACAGAGACCTTCGCGCGGACGGAAGGAGCTGGTCCCCTTCCTCAGCCCCAGGAAACGGTGGAACCGTCCATCGAGTCGAATAATGCCCTCTCGAGCGAATCGAGGTGCTCAGACGAATGAAGAATTCATCCCCTGGACCCGACAGTGTCACCTACGAAGACCTCCGGAGAGCTGACCCGAATGCTACGGTCCTAACCGTTTAACTCATGTCTTCGCCTGGGGCACATTCCTCGCGGATGGAAGCAGAGCCTGATTGTGCTTTTGTACAAGAAAGACTCTTGCGAAGATCTGAGTAACTAGCGGCCCATTACGATGGGCGACGTCATCGTGAAGCTGTTCGCCGCTGTGCTGGCCGATTATCTAATGCGCTGGCCGACCGTCAACAATCGTTTGTGCGCGGCCCAAAAGGGATTTTTGCAGCATGAGGGGTGTCTCGAACATTCCTTCATGCTGCACTGCGCTTTAGAAAGAGCCCGCGACCTTAAGAAGCAGGTGGTGGTCGTGTGGTTGAGCTCTTCAAGAGCTTTCTCATTGCTGCCGATATTCCAGGTATGATTATCAAAACCGTGGAGAGCCTTTACGAAGGCGCCACGGTCCGCGTGCGCACTCGGGAAGGGTACACCGACCTGATTCCAATGTTGTCGGGGGTGAGGCAGGGCTGCCCCTTGAGCCCTATACTGTTCAACTTGGTGATCGACCCGCTGGTCCGAGTGGCCGCGGAATCGGGAGCCGGGTTGGACGTATTCGGTGACAGGTCACAACCCTCACTTACGTGGACGATATCGCGTTCGTCGCCGCAACCCTCGACGACATGCGTTACCTCCTCTCGTCCGCCGAGAACTGCGCGCGGCCGTTGGGACTCACCTTCAACCCCCGTAAGTGCGCTACGCTGCACGTCAGGGCGAAGGGCAAGCCGATCCCAACGACCTTTCACCTTGCGGGCGAAAGTTTGCCCGTACTAGAGCAAGGGGACTCCTACCTCCACCTGGGAGTTCTCACGGGAGTTCGCACAGACCAAACTCCATACCGCGCGATCGCGGACCTTGAGGCGGTTAGCGTGTCTTATCTCGCCTCCTGGCAGAAGGTCGAGACCGTGGCGACATTTTTGTTGCCGCACCTTGACTTTTTGCTAAGGGCGGGATCCGTTAAGCAGTCACCGTTAGCGGAGGCCGATCGGATCCTAAGGCGAACGGTAAAGGGATGGTTGAACCTCCCCCAACATGCCAGCGCCGAGGTGGTTTTCATCCCTCCCTCTTGGGGGGGATGCGGGCTCCTTCCGCTGGCGGATCTCGCAGACGCATTCGTCGTGGCCCACGCGTTCAAATTATTGAACGCAGATGACCTGGCGGTTGCACACGTCGCGAGTCAACGCTGGAAAATGCCGTGCACCTGAAGATCCGACGAGAGCCATCGGAGGTCGATATCGCTGGCTACCTCTCGAGCTCGCTCGAGGGGGAATTAGCCCTTCCCTCCTCTAGTCGCGCGACCTTTTGGTCCAGAATAAGATCCGCCGCCTTAAGGTCAGCTAAGCGGTTGGGTATCCGTTGGGTGTGGAGCCAGGTCAGGGGTGAACTCTCACTGGAGTGTCTGGCACGCGGCGGTCGGAGAGTGACCATACCTCCGGCCGCCAAGTCATTGGCCATCTGAGGGCCGCAGTCTCAGAACACTACATGTCCGTGCTTCTTAGGAAGCCG